CATAATAAATAAATAAAAAACAATACCAGCTATCAAACAATCCCTTTCCTTTCTCTTTCTCTTTCTTTTATTAATATCAATACATAAATAAAAAGCAATATCCACTAATATTAAATGGTATACCTTCTCTTTACTTGCCTTTTTCTTTCTCTTTCTCTTTCTCACTTTTTTTTTGCCTTTTTATTTATTTCAATACATAAATAAAAAATAAAAAAGAATACTGCCAGCAATAAAAGATATATATCTCCCCTTTCTTTTCTCTCTCTCAATTTTTTTTTTTCTGGCTATATTTATTTATTAATAAAAACTTACCCTCCAGCAGCAATAGCAATCATTAAATCTGGTTTGAAATCTTCATTTAACTTGAAACGTTCAACAGATTCACGGATATCTTTATGGATTTGATTATAAGTAATATATTTTTTAGCCATTGTTTTGTTTATTATTAAAAAAATAAAAAATTATCTATTTACAAAAGAAGAAAGAAAGTGGAAATCAAAAAAAAAATCTTTTTTTAACCGGAATTTTAAAAAATTTTTAGTCCAAATTTGGATTTGGTATATTTTTTTTTTTTAAATCCAAGGTAATAGTAATAAAGATAATATTTATATTTATTTAAATAGTGTTGATAATAAATCATTAAAGTATATATTATAAATAATAATTATAATAATAATAACAATATATACATGCATATATATAAATTGCTTGGATTTTAAAAATCATTATATTCAGTAATTATAAAATTGAATGACTTTAGTTTTATAATTTATTCAAACCCAGAACGGTATATTTTTTTTCTCCCTATAATATCGAGATTGAAATCAAGACCCTTCATTATATAAGCTTAGGATGACTATTTAATATAAATGTCAAACAGAATCTATCTTCTTTCATATTTGTATATATTTATGTATATATATGCACATGTATCTATATATCTATATATTTATATAATAAAAAGAAAAAATAATAATATTATAATATGCTTCATAATAATGTAATTCTTATATTTCACCCTTTGCTTCTCTTATTCTTACCATCCCCTTTGGTATAAATCACCTAAACAAGTAAATAAAAAAAAACTTTATTAGTTTCCACGCTTACCGCACGTACCTTTTTTTTTAAAAAAATAAACAAATACTATTTCAAATTTATACTTATAAAAATAATCATTTTTATTTTATATACCGATTTTTTTTATTTAAAAATAAAGCATATAGCTAGGTATGGAAACATAAAGTATGATTTCATTTTTGAAATAAAGTATTCACAATATTAGACTCGAGGAAAAAGTTTTAATAACTTCACAGATACTAAATCGATTAGCTTGAGTAATGATTTTTTAAATGGATTTTTCAATTTATTAAAAGATAAATGAAATTTTTATTTAATATTCTCGCAGATATATATTTTATTTCAAAAATAAAAATAAATAAAAAGAATAGGTGTTTTATTATAGAATTTCAATATATATATATATATATATATGTATGTATTTTTTGGGCGATTTTTGCTTGAAAAAGAAAAGATCAACTTTTTGACCAACCAGAGTTTACTATTTTTTTTAAAAAATCAACAACTATAATTAATATTTTATTTAAAGCCAGCTCTTTTTTAATTCCTCTTTCCATTCACTTTTCACTTTTTTTATTTTTTAATATATAATGATACAAACTACACTTTTAAATTATTTTAATTGTAATAATAAAGAGCCATTAAAAGAAACAGAAAGAAGCAAAAGTTTTGCATTATTAAAACAATCTCGATTATATGATTACTTTACCATTAGAAGACCACCTAATCAAAGTACAATAGTGGATTATTTTACGAAAAAAAAGGAACCTTTTAAAAAAAAAAAAGGTATATATATATATAAATATATAAACATATGAAAAATAAAATAAAATAAAAACACACGCATACAGTTATCTTTTTTATTTATTTAACATTCTTATTATTATTTATTACAAGTAGAACCAGTATTTGATCTTATTCTAGTCGACATCAGTAAATCCAGTGCATACAGTGAAGAAATACAATGTGTAAAAAAGAATATATATGATAAAGACTTAAAATACATAGCGCTCAGTTACCGTCGCGGAGAAGTTCAGGAACAACTTGTTGAAACACCCAGTTATCATATATCCGTCTCTTCATTTGATCTATTCCATTTAAGAGACCTTTGCAACTGTATACGACGTGAACCAGATTTGAAAACAATACAATATTTATGGGTTGATGCTATCTCTCTTCCCCCCCAACATACAACAGCGATGAAAAGAAAAACATTACAGCATTTAACTTTGATTTACCAAAAAGCTGCTTATATATTGGCTGTACCTGATTTACACTTAAAATATTTATTAAATAACCCTTCCAACAGATATTTTATACAACTAGTGGAATTATATCGTCATAGGATTTATCAACAGTTATTATTATGCAATGGCCAACAGCAGCAGCAGCAGCAGCAGCAGCAGCAGCAGCAACAACAACAACAACAACAACAAAATGATATAATGAAGGGCACAGACAAGGATAATGATGAGAATCAATTAAAAAAAGCTTATGAATTTCTACAATATCTTATTGAAGATTGGTCAAATCGCGTATGGGTTACAAATGAATATCACCATGCAAAAGAAAAAATAAATACACCAATGAAATATATATTTATTATGATGCTGGATTATAACACAACCTCCTTTTTTAATTATTCATTTAATAATCAACAGCAACAACAGCTTATGAAGACAATAAAAAAAATCTCAAATCGCCATGGTCAACAATTTATTCATCACTTGAAAAAGAAACTAATACAACGCCATCCATTAGATATGATATTAAATACAAACACAACTAGCAATGAAGATCGATTTTATGCATTTTTGCCATTATGGGATAAATATAAGCATGTGATCCAACATCAAGATACTATATCAACATGGCATATCACGGATATGGTTTCGGTTCGACTTAAATTATATGATATCATGGATGATTTATGGGATAAAGCAAGATTACTATTTGCATGTTCTATGAATGAAACTCTTACTTTACCTAGTTTTGCAAGTCAATACCAAGCTGAACATTTACCTATTATTGAATTGGATCATCCTGAAATGGCACATAAACGATATTCAGATTTTTTATTAACTCATTTATTAAATTTATTGGTGGATCATCATGCTTTGGATATTTGTATCATTAACGAAGAATACAACCAGGTACTTCATATGAAATCAGGGTTATATATGGAAAATTTATTGTCCATTCAATATCATTCACCACTTTGCTTCTTGTCCGTCAAAGCCAAAAAGTATTTTATTTATAAGCTTCCTCTTCATTTAAATACTTCCTTTTTATCAAAATGCTCTTTGAAAAATAACAACTTATCTTTGGTTTATATTCCTTATTATATTTATTCAAAACCAAACTATTTTAATATTATCCCTAATGATGCTACTGGGATCACATTGGTTGGGCATTCGGATGTTAATCGATGGGTATTATGCGATATTCACGTATATCATCCTAATGATTATACTCCTTCTTCAAATCGTTATACCTTTCATATTTATTAAATGTTATTTTTTTTATTTTATTTTTATTTTTTATGATATTTAAAAATAAATAAATAAATAACAGTGTCCTTTCCTAATTATAATTGGGTAATGGTAATTATTTTAAACATTAACCTAGTTTTTTATTATTATTGTTGTTAAATATATAGTAGGACTTAAAAATAGTTTATCATCTATATACTGGACGTTTATCCTGACCTAATTCAGATTCCATATCATTTTCAAAGAAATTTTTAAAAGGGAAACTAGTTGATCAGCTTCTGAACATTGAAAGATACCATCTTCAATACAATTGCCTTCTAATACATTAAGAATGATAGTGTAGCAGTATTATCTCTACTATTGTAGTTTGTTTCTAAAAGAAAACTGTGGAAGCGCTCTGTATAAATGTCATATATTCCTTTGATATCATAAATAAATATAAAAATGAAACGAGAAATAAAAACTTAAAACAAAATAAAATGAAATAAAAAAAAAGTAAGTTTAATTTTTTAAAATATTTTTGCATATGAATTTTTATTAGCTTAACATTTTTATAATATTTTTACTTTTTGGTCGTTCTAATAAAACAAGAACTGAGGCTGTCTACAATGGTGCTCTGTATATTAGATTTTTGCTTTTTGAGATAGCCACTCCATACTGTATTCGCTTTCATTACTTTTCCCTTCTCTCTCTATGCATTAGATAATCTTTATTTTTTATTTTAGATATAAATAGAACCAATTTTTTCTCTTTCTTTCTCTTAAACTGTCAAATTTTTATAATAAATTATTATCTATAAAATAATTATTAAACTTGTCAACTTTATAAAACAAACTATATAAATCTATCTCATTTTATTTTATAACATATTCAATCATTGAATTTATTTAACAAATTATATTATATTATTTATTAAATATTTTTATACAATACTGCTTTTGATCATTTTAAACATTTATTACTATTTTACTTGGCGGCCATTAAACTTCTGCTTTAGTCCTGCTTATATTTTACTAGTAATTTTTATTTTACTTTTTATTTTTTTTAATTTTATTCTATTTTTAATTTTTTTATTCCTTTAAGTCGTTCTACTTATAATACAGGAACTGGTGCTCACTGAAAACCTATTATATACTCCAAATATAACTTATAATATTCATTCCTCATTTCAAAAAATAAATCTTAACCAAAAACCCACATAACACTCCTCATTTCAAGAAAATAAATCTTAACCAAAAACCCATATAACAATACTCATTCTTCATATCAAAAAATAATTTTAATTAAAAACCTGCATAGCAAAGCTCTTATTCTTTATTTTAATAAAAATAAATGTTACCAAAATCACACACGGCAAACTATACTTTTAATAGTCTATAAGAACGGAAATATTATTTTGATAAATATTTAGCCGGACAAAAGAGCAAAAAGTGAAGAGAGTGGGATTCGAACCCACGCCTCAAGAATGAGACCAGGACCTTAACCTGGCGCCTTAGACCAACTCGGCCATCTCTCCATATGTTTTTTAGTGTGCAACTGCTTTTATTTGAGATTAAATTAACTGCTAATTTTATTTATTTAATTTATTTTACACGTTGATTTAAAACATATAGTTATATCTAAAAATTCAATCATTACAATAACTATTCTTTTATTTCACATATTAGTCATTATTCTTGTTTTAGTTCTAATTATATATTTTTAATTTTGCTATATTTAATTGTAGTGTAATTGTTTTCTTAACGAACTTAAAAATTAAATTCAACATGTTTTATTTTATTTTTAGTGTTTAATTTAATCACTTGTATCGAATTTGACACTAACAGTTTATATTTTTTTATTTTAGTTTTATTTTTTTTTACATGTACACTCTTGAAATTAACCATCTTAAAATGGAGTATCGCACATATCAGTTTTCGCCGAATGTAATTTTCGTTTTTATTATATATATATATATATATATATTTATAATTATAAAATAAAAATAGAGTAATAAAATAACAATATAAAATTAGAGTACAACAAAGTTTAAAATAAAAACAATCTTATGCATAGTATTAAAATGGTAATGTCTAACGCAAAAGTAATATAAATATAAAAGAAACATCTAAAAGATAAAGTGATGTTTTTTTTATTGTCTTGTCTTCAGGTTGGTAATTGTATAATTTTTGGATTCATGACCAGAAGTGGTAAGAGAGACTTCCAAAAATAATCAACATAGTCGGAATCCAAAACTAATTTTTTATAAATTTTTATAGTTTTTTTTTTCTCTTTTTTTTAGTATATAAAAAAATTATTGTGATATAATTATTATATAGTATATGTAAAAGTATATTATATAATATTATCTAAATAAGGATAGCAAATATTACTGTCATTATTATTACTGTTAATATTATTTTATTATATATATATATATATATTTGAGATATATTAAAACGAATTATTTATGAATTGTTATAGTGATATTTTATACTCACTGTAAAAAGCATATTTATAGTTATGATATATTTATATTAGTTTAAGTAATGAATAAAACTGAATTTTAACAATATTCTAATTATATACAACAAATAATAATTAATTGTTGGTATACATACTAATATATATTATATTTACTAATGAAAGTAACAACTAAAAAATATTTATTTAATGCATAATTAACTTTAGATAACGCTAGATCAATTATTGAATTAAATTGGACTATGGATAGATTTTGATAAAAGAAAGGATATACAGGCATTAATTTTTTTTTTTTTCAATGATTAACTTATTTTTAATCAGTAATGTATATGTGCAAAGCTAAATATATTTTATTTGTTTATAAAATTAAAATAATATTCATAATAGTAATAAAAGATAAAAAAAGTGCTAAAAAAATTAATACATAATGATTACTATTATAATAATGATTTAATTTTCATCGATACCTTCAGTTAAAGCAGTATAATTAAAAGGTTTAACTTTAGGATGATTTTTGACTTGAAGGTAGACCTTATAAATTTCGGGGGTATCCTTTTCATTGATTTGATCAGCCAAGCCATTAGCATGATAGAAACTGATCCAAGAAAATAAGACCAAATCCGTCAAAGAAATTTTATCACCATGGTAATGGCCATTATTGCCATTTTTTACCAATGCTTTTTTATGATTGACCACCAAAGGTTCAATAAGTCTATTGAAATTAGCCAAGAAGCTTTCTTTGCCTTCAGGGAAAAACACGTATCCAGCACCGCCTAAAGCCCATAATTCAGTGATTTGATGGTAAACTTGTAGTTGAAGGGAGCTTTCTTTTAAATCATCAAAGGGAACCAAGTTGAATTTTTTAGCTAAATACAATTCAATCACAATAGCTTCAGCCAATTGCCAAGTTTCTCCATTGTCTTCGGTAATGTTTAAATAAGGTAAATAGCCAAAAGGTGTTTCTGATTTATGTGATGGCCATTCAGGATTAGTTTCTGTCCAGTCAGCACCAACAAAATTTAAAATATCTATTAAAAAAAAGAAAAATAAACCAGAATGTTAATTTATTGCCATCATTTTATATTTTTTTTTTTTTATTTGTATATACCTCTAATAGGAGAAGCACGACCACCACCTTGGAAATAGACAAGTTCGTATTTGACCATTTTTAATATAAGATTGATTGTATTTTTTTGATAATAAAAGTGTTTTTAGTTTTTAATAAATGAAGAAAAGAAAAGAAACAAATCAAAAAAGCTTTCTTTTATAGTTTTCATTTTTAGCTTTTTTTTACAAAAGAAAAAAACAAGAAAACTTGGCTATTCGCCAAGATTGGTAAGCTTTTGCGTTTATTCTTTGTTTATAGATACACACAAAAAAATGCAATAGGAAGTGTTTATTATTAAGACAAATAGAATCTCAAGTAAAACGTTGATGCAAAAGCGGATGTTACACATAACAATTTTTCCACAGCGCCACAGTTTCTATTCCATCTGATATAGTTTTTTCTCTATGTTTCGGGCTACATCCAGTGTGGGAGATTAGCTTAACAATCACAGAGAAGAAAAGTATGATAATCCCATTACTTTATATCTTTCTTTAATTAAAATCGACCATAATAGCAACATAATAACAGTAATGATATTTTATTTATATTAATTTTTTTTAGTTTTTTTATTTATTATTATTGTATAATAATTATATAATGCTTATTTTATTTTTTATCTTATAATGTATATAAAATATATAGAGAATGAATTGATATTACACGTGTGCACACACACACAAAATATATTTATATAATCTATTACATAATAGTACAATTTTCCAAATCTTTTATATCGGGCATACCTTGAGGAGCATCAAAGTTCATACCAGGTGCCATTTCTTCTAATAAAGAAGCTGGAGGTTGTCCGAGATCTTGCATTTCAGTCATTAAATCCATGATTTTCTTTGCTTGAGCTTCATTCTTTTCGTCAAATCCAGGTGCATCATATTCTGCCACAATCTTTTTACATAATTCAAATTGTTTCTTATAATTTTCATATTGTTCTTTATCTGTTTTATCCTTATTTTCTTCTAACCAAGCAGGGTACTATTTTTTTTTTAATGAAGTAAATATTAAAAAAAATGACAGTTAAAATAAAAATGAAATGAAAAATAATTAAAATAAGTACATATTTTGATTTCGTTATTATTATTATGGTGACGGTGATCATTTATATATATATTCTTGTTATTTATGTATATTTATTTATTTACCTTTTCTACTAAATCCTTCATAGGTTCATATAACATTTCTTTAGACATTAATTGACTCATCATTCCTTCTAATACATTTTCAAAATCACCACCATCGGTTAAACCTTCCATTTGTTTCATTAATTCAGCCATAAACGCATCATCATTTTCCTCATTAATAGCGGTCTACAAAATATTAAAAAGGATAAAAAATCAAAAACAATTAATTAATTAATAAGGTTATCTCAAGTTTTTTTTTTCCCTTCTCTCTTTTTTCTTCTTTTTTTACTATTATGAACATTATGATAATTGAAATTATGATTATTAAATTAAAAAACATACATCCACTTGTTTTGAACTGTCTTTTAATTTGTTCATGGTCTGATTAATGGTATCTTGGAAAGAAGCAGGATTTTTTGCGGCAGAAGATGAAGATGAAGATGAAGATTTAGCATCAGTGGGTGGAACACTTCTTGCAGCTTCTTTATTAGCTTCTTCGGCTAAAAGACTTGGATCAAAGGTACTCCATACTTTTTCAAATGCGGCTTTCATTTCAGGGTCTTGATCTAAATTACCCATAAACTCTTCCATACCTTCTTGTAATTGTTTTGCAAAAGCTTCATTATCTAACACATCATCTAATGATCCTTCTTCTTGATTTTCTTTAGTTGTTACTTTGGGTTCACTTGTGGCAGCAGGTGGTTTCGTAGTTGTATCTTTATCTTTTATTGATACGCCATTAAAATCATCTAACACATCTATTTTATAAAAAAAAGAAAAATGTATAAAATAGATGAACAAAATTAATATATTATCTCTGCAAAAGTACACACATACACACACACCTACATATATATATATATATATATATATATTATACGTTTTATTCTATTTTATTATAACCCTTTTCATTTTATGTTTTCTATTTCATAATCCTTTTTTAGAATAAATTTAAGCTCTTTTCCCCTTTCTATTTTTTTTTTTTATTACCATCTAATATATCATCCAAGTCAGATTCATCGTCTTGGGTAGGAACAGTTTTAACAGGTTCTTCTTGTTTAGACATATTACGAATTGTATTTTTATTTAAAATAAAAAGAGAAGAAAAAGAGAAGAAAAAATGTTTGTGGGGAAAAAGGAGTTTTATAATTTTTTAGTCATTTTAAATTATTCAAACTCAGGATGAAAAATAATATCTTATTTTGTCAGCTTTAAAAATACATGTGATTTTACATTATTACAAAATATTATTTTCTTTAATAAAGGTTTATTTTTTATATTATAATTTTATATATACCAAAAATCAATATATATATATATATATATCAAATAAAAATTATACTAATGATATTCAAAATAGTAACGGCCATAATAATAATAATAAAATAAATAATAAAATAAAATTAGAAGCATTTATACAACTGAATATCTACCACTTGAACCACCACCAATACGAGCTTCGGCTTCTAATGAAGCAACAGTGGCTTCTTCAAGGATACGCTTGATTTCTCTTTTTGCTTTTTCCAATACCAATTCAGAATCACCTTCAATAAATAGATATAGTTTTCTTTCATTAGGTCCGGGTTGTTTACCAGCAGGAAAGAAGGTACCTCTTGTTGTTATGGCAGCTCCAGTAATTTCACTAATTTGTGATATTTGTTCCTATATATATTAATATTTAAAAAGATAAAAATAATAATCAATTTCCGATTTTCTTTTTCATTTTTTTTTTTTTTTTGGGTATTTATAATTTATGCATTTAATAATTATCTTTTATTTTATTCTTTTATTTACCTTATTTGTCACCTTCCA